ACCGATTTATAAGCAGCAAGTGTTCAAATGATATAACATAACATGCCCAATTACCTTTGTTTTTTTTTTTGCTTGAGCTTTATTGCTTAATTCTTGTATTCTAAAAAATCCAATACAAATTATTAATATACTGATAATATTTATTTAATGACAATTTTTTCACCCAGACCCCAGAGTTTAAAAACCAAACTATCGATGGAACGTCGGACTCTATCGAAAGTGTCAGGCTGCTATAGATAGTAACTCGATAGCGACCAACCATCGATAGTGCTGTCGATAGTTTTCCACTGATGGGATTATTGGAAAGTTTTTTATGGAACGTTTAATTAAATTATAATAGTTGTTTATTTGGTGCACACACAAAAGCGGTTGCAAGCGCACACAGTGTAGCACCGAACACCGGACTGAGCCCGAAAACAGCAGAAATCTCTGAATTTTCTCGAAACCCATCCGCCCGCATACCGTGGCAACAAAAACAACTGCAGCGGCCAGCGAGCACACAAAGAGAGGACAGCACACAAGTCCACGCATCGCACTACGACCAACGCAAAACCCGTTTCCCGTGCGCCTCTTTATTCGATTTGCATTGCAGCACCCCCCGCTCCCCGCGGACTGTGCTGTGGCGGTATTGGTGCCACACTAAGGGGCGTCTATAGCTTCTACCGAACTCGCGAGTGAACTGCATTATGATGGTGGAGTCCGACGGTACTGCCGATGCCACTCGCCGCCTCAACGTGAAGAAACAGACACTGGACGATGCGTACGCAGTGCCCGCCAACTTCCTCGAAATCGATGTGGTCAATCCACTGACCACCATGGCGGCGGGCAAGAAGCGCTATACGGATTACGAAGTTCGAATGCGGGTGAGTAGAATGACAGAGAGGGGCGGTGGCTATCCCAAATTCGCTGAGTTTGCAAAAATTGCCCAAAACAGTAGATAACTGTTCAATGTGTGTGTGAGTGTGAGAGAGCGAGCGACCGTGATTGTGTGTGAGCTGTGTGTCCGGGTGATACGCCTATAAAGCGGAGCGATAATTATTAGTCACAATTGCAGTCCGCTGACACCGATCCGGGCCTTGAGTCATGTGGGGGGTGGAAGTGGGATAATGATTGCACTGATTGGGCTGTCAATGCGGGTGCTGTGCTCTCGAGGAACTTGTCACTAATCCCAGCTTTTCCTCTGTGTTCCCTCCCTCTTTCAGACAAACTTGCCGGTCTTCAAGGTGAAGGAATCAAGTGTGAGACGGCGCTACAGCGACTTTGAATGGCTAAGAAACGAACTGGAAAGGGATAGCAAGGTAAGCCATTGGAATCGTTCAAAGAAAAATTTTGTAATCTCTCCATCTCTCTGATTCTTTAGATTGTGGTGCCGCCACTGCCGGGTAAGGCCTGGAAGCGGCAGATGCCGTTCCGCGGTGACGAGGGCATCTTCGACGAGAGCTTCATCGAGGAGCGCCGCAAGGGCCTGGAGGCGTTCATCAACAAGATAGCCGGTCACCCGCTGGCGCAGAACGAGCGGTGTCTGCACATGTTCCTCCAGGAGAACGTCATCGACAAGAACTATGTGCCGGGCAAGATTCGCAATACATAAGGAGACGACGACAACAACAAAAACAACAGAATCAACAGCAATGCAATGAAGCAACAACTCGAACGAACAAAACCGTTACGAACTCTATTAGGGAGTAGGCCCGATCCGTGTGTATGTGTATGTGTGTGTGTGCTTAGCAAGATTAAGAAGGAACGAAGACCTGAAAGGGTGGGGAAGGGCGAGAGAAGGAGCCAAGAAGTAGAAGTAAAGGAATCTGTTTATTATTCGGCGCAAGCGGAAATGCGGTGGAAGCAGAAGGCGGAAGTGTAAGTAGACGTTACGTCGCTGCTGCTGATGCTGCTGCTGATGCTGCTGCTGCTCAGTTAATGTTGAAGCATTGGGAGTTTTTAAATGCTAAATTCAAGTTTATATGGTATACATACATTATATACAATATATATATATATATATATACATACAATACATATATTTACATAATAGTGTACATAATACATACATACCTACCACGCCCACTCGATGATTGACGACTCCTCTCTAACCCCCAAATGCAAGTCCCGTTGCCAAAAGTATTGGCAGCTCCATTCCCCCCGCTATTAACGCGGGACCCCGTCAGTGTAGTTGTGCGACATTTATAAATTATATTTGTTTATCGTCAAATTGCAGCAGTAAGAAAGCAGCAAAAGTTATAAATGTATCCTCCCTCGCCCTAAAAGAAATGGAAACCGTCAAACTATATGAAAATTATGGAATATTTTGAATCAATTTAGTGAATAATATTGTACTTCGAATCAAATTAAAATAATTAAAACAAACAAACACATTTTTGCAATCATTTTTGATAACGATTTTTAAAATCGGAAACTGTTGAGATTGCCGGCGTGGCGCGTCGCGTCAATGTGCGCAGGGCTACGCAATCGTATCAAAGCAGGCTGTGCGAGTGAGACAGATATACGGGTGCTGCTCACAATCTGCTTCACCAGCCCTGGCGACTCGTGTGTGTTTTTTGTTTTTTATTTGTTTTTGGCATGGACTCGGCGGATTCTCCCACAAAAACGCAATCTAGCGAGGATGAAAACTACAGCCTACTGTGCCAAGCCCACGAAAAATTCAACAAGTAAGCGCCCCTCATGAATTCCGCAGCCGCAGACCCGGCAAATGCATACCTGTTCCACACCCATTGCAGCACCGAGTACGACCGCTGCCTGGAGCTCCTACAGCAACTCGACACCAAGGGCGAGAGCAGCGGACCCATCCTGCGGCACAATCGGGCCGTCGTGAACTTCTACAAGAGCGGCTGCACCCAGCACGCGGCGCTGCTGCAGGAGCTGGAAGAACTGGCCACCGACGTGAAGACACCTCAGGGTATGGGCGAGGCCGGTGGCGGCCTGTCCCTGAAGCAGGGTGCCAGCGCAGCTACAGTGGCCCGGTACAACAAGGCGGTCATCTACTACCACCGTCACATGTATGGCACGGCGCTGGAGAAGCTTGCTCCTCTGGTGACCAGGCTGGAGGCCCTGGAGAAGAGCATGTCCGCGCTGGTGGCCACACTTCAGCTGCAGCTGCTGCTGGCAACCAACCAGCTGAACCGCGCCGAGGCCTTTCTGGACTACTTGCAGTACACGCTGAATCTGGTGGACAAGGCGCCAAGCAGCAGTCCCGATGAGGCCGTGCCGGCGACAGCCACAACCGCCGCGGCCACGCCCAGTACAGTGGTGGCTACCCAGGGCTCGGATGCAACTGTGGCACGCGTGACTGGGGACAGCAGTGGCAGTCTCCAGCTGTTGCAGCTGCTGACACATGTGCTAAATCGCAAGCCGGTTGTCATAACGGAGGACGGAACGCCACATTATGCGGCGCTCAAGGCGCAGCAGTACTACATCATGAAGGACTTCCAGATGGCCGCCAAGCAGCTGATGCGCATCAACAACGAGTGCACACAGGCAGGGTAAGACTTTGAAAGTGAGACCCATCCTCCAGAGCTGCAGCTAACAGCTGTCCCTTCCCTTGCAGCACGGTAACTCCCCAGCTGAGCACCTGCATTGCCAACAATATGGGCGTCATCCATCTGAGAGTGCGTCACTATGCCATAGCGGCGAAGTTCTTTCAAAACGCCTTGAACTTCGATAAGCTTCTGGCCGCGAACCTCAGGGAGAGCACGCTCCAGACGATGAGCTCGGCACACTCGTGCGAGATTCTGTACAACCTTGGCATCGCCATGCTCCATCTACGCCGTCCGAAGGAGGCCTTTCAGTGCCTGCTCGTGCCCGTCAAGCAGTTCCACAGCAATCCGCGACTCTGGTTGCGCATGGCCGAGGCCTGTATCATGGAGCACGAGGCAGTAAGTACCGGAAAACCCATCCATAAGCATGGAGATTATTTATTTGACTTTGCAGAATCTGGCAGAGGACGAACGTCAGTCGTTAGCTGGAGCTGCAACCCCGCCTTCATCCACGTCATATGCGTAAGTGCTGGCCAGAATCCTGAAAAATCTTCGACTTACTCTTCCAACTTTCCCACAGACCACAATCGGCTGGTGTGCCGGAGCCAACCCTGGAGTTTGCTGCCCTGTGCCTGCGCAGTGCTCTTACTCTGACGCTGCACCACAAGGCTAGCTTCCATATGGATTCCTCGCCGGAGGAGACACCCGAGCAGCGGGATCCCACGCAGCAGTCGTGGCGCCAGCTGCAAGACAATAATTTTTGCAATCCATCGAAACCGATTAGCCTGGAATCACTGGAAAACATGCTGGCCGCCATCTATGCGGCGCACAGCTTCGTTTCGCTGCGTCTGGGCGACCACATAACGGCCCTGGAAATGGCCGAGCAGCTTCTGCGCGGCGAGCGTCTGTCGGATGCACACAAGTAAATAGTTTCCCCTTGATTGCTGGCATCTCATAGATTACTGACAGACTTCCTGTATCCACAGATTGCTGGGCCATATGTACGCCGGCGAGGCGCTAATGCTGATGGACAAAGCCGCGGAGGCGCGCGATCATTTGGATCCGACATTTGTTAGCTCTTTGGATGCCTTCGATCTGGAGACACGCGACTGGCAACTCAAGTCGCTGGACGCTGCCCAGAATGTGGTGCGATACAACCTGGCCGTGGCCATGACTCTGCAGAACGACTATCAGCAGGCGAAAACCTTCCTCTCCACACTCACCCACTCGATTGTGAGCATCAAGGCGCGTGCGCTGCGTCGCTACATAGACCTCAAGTTGGGAGCACCAAATGCCAATGCCGTTACCGCCGGATCGCTCAGTTAGACATACAAATAAAATGTGTAAATAATAGACGGAATCGATACATGAATGGAGTGCAGATTGTAAATATAGAGAAATCAAGTCACTGACAGACAGAGTCCCGCAGAGTTTTCCTAACACGATTTCAGCGCCAATTTGTGAGGCCAAACATGAAAAATCTACCATGAATGTCTATCGCTATAAGTTACCTTAAGAGATTTAAGCAGTTTGCAATGATTTGTCGGGTGGTTCTGTTGCTTTTGTTGGCTGCTGGCAGCCTGCTAGAATTTGCCACATCGAATTCTGTGAGTGGCAGTTTGATAGATTTCCAACTCCCCTGGCTAAGCTTTATTCCTCCACCCAAGCTGAGTCTCGTTGGCATGCACAACTATCCGGTGGAGCAGCACAGGCTGACGACGAGAGATGGCTACATCCTCACCATATTCCGCATTCCATATGCCCAGCGTGAAGGCGGACGCAAGCAGGTTGCCTTCCTGCAGCATGGCATTACTGGCTCCTCCGACGATTGGCTGCTCAACGGCCCCAACAGTGGGCTGCCATTTCTGCTGGCCGATGCGGGCTTTGACGTTTGGCTGGGCAACTCTCGAGGCAATGAAAACGGACGCGCGCACAAGAAACTTGATACGATGAGGATGCGCAGACACTTGGCCAGCGTATTGCTGCCATTCCGCATCACGTGAACGTTAAGAACTGGAACCATTTGGATTATGTTTACGCCACAGACGTCGTGCAGGTCATCTACCGACAGCTAATTCAATCGATCCGTGACTACAAGGCGAGTCCCATCTGATTTGAATGCTATTTAAATATATGTCAGAAAAGTTGTATTGCTCCCTCAAAATATATATTTTCATGATTTTCAGATGCCATCGGTTTAATTTCGCCATTTGCCATTTTCCCATCCGACAAATCGTATGCAAAATAATAATAAAATAATGATTTCAATCATCATTTTCAGCACGCAAGTGGCTGAGGAAAGTTAAGCAAACTCTGCGGGTAGCCCAAGGCGTAACAAGTAACAGCGCCTCCCTCCCATTCAGCCACTGTGGTCCGGCCTGTGCCTGACCGTTGGCCGTTGGCCCTTTGCCACCCTGCCACACACAGTAATGGCCATTTTGCATGCGTGCCCCAGGTGGACTACCCTTAGGGGGTTGGGTAGCTATAGCAACTTTGGCAAACAATGAGGGATACGCTGTGGGCCCACTCCCGACCCGACACAGTCGACTTGTTTACTTGGCTACCTCCTTGGCTGCAACTGCAATCGATGTGCGGCAGAGGTTTCAGTTCCCATTTGAATTTCGGCAGCGTAAGTCCCACGGATAACTACATAGATCATGTGCTTCCTCTCGGTGCTCGTGTTGGTGGTCCTAATGGACTTTGGGAGCTGCTCTCTGTCGAGCATAATGCCGCCAGCGTCGCCAGTGCCGGTGCCCACGCCCCACACTTTTCGATTCCAGAAACCGCAGCAGTGCCTCAAGCATGAGTTCTACAACCTCAACTACTTTGACTGTGTGCCATGCAACGAGGCTGGAGACACAGGAAAACTGCAGCCAGACAGTGAGTATTCTGACTATTGATCAAACAGCAAGAACCCTCGCAGGGAGACATGGAGTATGGGGGCTTGAATTGGTGTCATGTGGAGAGGGCAGGTTGCAACCCACTTTGAATAATTTATACTTCCCCTCAGAATTCTCCTGCAAGTGCCCGGCCGGACATTTATCCATCTATGAGCGTGGCAAGACCTGGCCAACCTGTGACGAGATATGCTCCTCAGCGCCAGACCGCAGCGAGAACTGCACAACGATGTGGCTGCCACAGCCCAAGCCTGCCACGCGCTGCAGCATGCAGTACCTCAATGCGACCTCGGTCTTTGCCAGCCAATTGCCAGTTCATCCGCTGATCTCTGGCATCATTCTGACCAAAACGAATCCGGCGAGCAACAGCAGCGACTGCCAGAGCTGCGATCAGACATACAACTTCCACTATCAGGACTACTGCCTGGCCGATGGCCTGCTGCGCCCCTACCTCCACTACAATGCCTTCTGGCAGTCCACAACCAGCGGGCGGCAGAGCCCGAATGGAGCCACCGCCACCCACTTTGGTGACCTCAAGTTCGTGGCCTTCTTCTGCCTGACATTGAGGAACGACACTGCCTGCCAGCAGTTGGCCAATCTGTGCGTGCTCTCGCACTACTCCCTGGAGAAGCATTCGCCCTGCAGCGCCTTTCTGCTCACGCAGGTCTCGGATGTCGTGATGAAGTATGCCCATTCCGGGGAGCAGGTGCGCTCGCTGCAGCCGTTCCTCTTCTATAAAAAGGGCAAGACCACCAAGGATCTGCTCTCGAAGACCCTCCAGCTGGCGGACCGCAAGCAGCTGCAGCTTTTCAGCACCAGCTTTGGGCTGGAGGGCAGATTGAAACGCTGGGGACCGTTCACACTGGACAAAGTTAATCTGTGCCCACAGCCGGCTCCGTCTCTGCGGCTCGCCCAACCCCAAGGCGAGGCGGAGGTCTCTTGTCAACTCTCTGTGGAGCGGCTCATAGATTTGGCCAGTCAGCAGGCCAACGATAATTATCTCACGCTCTTCCTCAACTTTAGCAGCAACTGGCAGTTCCTGCTCCACCAGCTGCCCGTGCTCATCGAGACCCTGACGCCAGAGAACCAAGTGAGCTTTGTGCCATGTTAGAGTGAGTTTTTATTTTCATTTTTGCCATGCAGCGCCCGCAGCAGGAGGAGTGGCAGCTGGTGAAACGATTCCAACTTATTGCCGCCTTGCCCAGGGACACTCGCCATCATCAGACTGTGCCACACTACGAGGATGGTCACAAGCTGCAAGTTTATCGCTCGCTGCGCTACGTTGAGGATCTGGAACTGCACTACACGCTGGACGAGAAGCATAAAGATCGTGTGGGATTGCCTCTCATTCGTCTCCGCTATCGCCACATCGAGTTGACGGGCAATGCCTCGCTCTCCGAGTCCCATCCATTCCGGCTGCGGGTTACCTACCAGAAAACAGCACGCGGCTGGTATTGGCTCATCATGGAAGTGGCGCTCCCGCTGCTCCTTTTGTTGGCCTTCACGGCGGCTGCCTTTCGCTTGCAGAACCTGCGGCGCAGGCGCCATGCGGAGCTCTGTCAGACCAGCAGCCTGTTGGAGTTACTGCTTCAACTAGCCAGCAATGTGGCATATGCCCTTTTGGCCACTGCCCTGCTGCTGCTGGCCCTAAACGCCTCCAGCCCCCACCTGCTCAGGCCTCTGATCTATGCCGCCTGCCTGCTGCAGCTGATTTTCCTGGGTGTGCACCTGTGGCGTTCCAGTCAGCTCGAGCTCTTCCTCATCGACTGGGAGCGACCGCGTAGCAGCTGCGAGGGTCAGCGCCTCAACCTAGACAGCTCCTCGCTCTGCTCCAGCGTGCGCACCTATGTGGCCGAGAGCAGTGTGTCCGCCTGGCGCATTCTCTTCACGGCCAATGCCTGGATACGCCTCAGTGTGGCCCAAAAATACTCCACCCTGGGACAGGTTTTCATGCTCGTGGCAGTGTACCAGTTCCTGGAGCATCACACACATGGCGATGTGGCTCTGCGCTGTGCGCTGATCTCGGGCAGCTACATAGTCACGTATCTACTACAGCTAATGGGACATCGTCTGCTCATCAACAATCCGCTGCAAAAGTTCATTGATCTGTGCAGCTTGGCAAACATTTCACTGTTCTCGCTGCTGGAGCCTGGCTTTGGTTACTACATCCATGGCAGGTCGCCGCATGGCTTTGCGGACACGGACATGTCTTCCATGATACTGCAGCTGCAGAAGACACAGAACATGTCCGGGCGTCGTGGCCTGCTCATGGACTCTGACAAGCAGGCCTACATCATACTGCCGCCACGAAATTTGCAGTAAGTTGAGAGAGAACTTAAACAGGATCAAATTTATTGTATCCATCCTTGACAGCATCTACTTGGAGCGCCTGCTGCTGCCGTTTCAGCGCAGTGTCACTGGCAGCCTGTCTCAGACTCTGCTCTATCAGAAGGACATCATACCCAGCATCGATGGACAGATAGAGCGCACATCCATAGCCTATGCGAGCGTGAATCGTTTCTTTTGCGCCTTCATTGATCATGTAAGAGCCAGTCCATCCAAGCCTTAGAGGATACCCCTATCCAGCTTGGTTCTCTCTTCTCTTGCAGGCCATCAAGGACATGGACTACATCATCAAGGAAAAAACGCTGCTGGAAAAGTTATTCAACTGCGAAATCGACAACTACATTACGGAGAGTGGGTTGCCTTTAAATATATTCTAATTTGAATATATCTTACATTTTCTTTTCGATTTTTCCCATTGCAGACAAGGGCACCTTCTACATTGACGACTCGCTCAGCTTCGCTCGTGTCCTGCTGTTGGGCAACCATTTGAATATCTTTGTGCTGGAGATCCTACTGCTGTTAACCATCTTCCTGATGACTTCCAATCTGCTGATTGCTGGCGCTCTAGCTTGTGTTTTCAATATGGTATGATCAGCATTAAGTAATTTGTATTATTTATTTATTTTTATTTAATTTCAGCTGCTGCGCCACATCTTCCGCGTTTGGGTGCGTCGCAATGTCTCCCGCAAGACACTCATCGATGAGCGTTTCCTGTTGTAGCCCCAGTCGGAGGAGCAGCATCTGCGTGAGGATGGATTTTTTGCCATCTAGAAACGGCGGCTAAATGTTTTTTGTTTACATTTGTTTTGTTTTATTTTATAATCCACTCGATAGTAAGTAGTAGTACACATCCATATACAGTGATTAAACGTTAGTTATCGTTACCATAAAACTTATGTATCTAAAACAAATAAAATAATTTCCATAGTTTCTTTCACAATACGCAAACATACACATGCATACATACAAACACATACGCACAATCTATGTAGATCATACCATTCCTTTTGCTCGCTTTACATAAGTATGATTGGATTTGATTTGATTCATTTTCTTATGTTGTGTTATAGGATTTATAATTTCATGCTTATTGTTTACTATGTGGCATCGATAGGAGTAGCAGCCATATCATATTATATTTATCATCTAGTTTAAGTATATAAATCTTTCTGTTTTGTGTGTGTGTGTGTGTGTGTCTCTGGCAATTGAAAACGTTTACGAAAATATTGATCATAGGGGACAGTTTTGAGGTGTTTTAGTTTAGTTTACCCTCTGACTTTCTGACTTTATTTGAAAACATGTTTTATGTTTTGGATCTATTTGTGATCTGATCTATATATGTACATCACGGGCGAGAGGTATCATTTTGCGTGTGTGTGTGTGTGTGTGTGTGTGTGTGTGTGTGGTGCAGTGCATTGCGTAGTTGTGTTTCCGTCTATGATCGATCCATAGTTATTAGAACTACTTTAATCGTACTTGCTAAAACGTCAAACGTACAACATTCAAACATCTATTTACTGTTGCCTATGCGGTAATTAAGGGATTTGATTTATTTGCGAAACTTGGCCAGAATGCAGCCAAACTTATTTACGAGTGTCTTCTTATAGGGTATACAGAATGTATGATGTTCTTAGGGCTTGCGACATTAGATCCTACTGATGTATGGGTTATCAATGGACATCAAACATGCACTTATCAAATTCGAAATGATGTAGATGTGCTTCATATGAGTTAATAACATAATTATAATGATGATAATAATTATAGTAAATATAGTAATTGTTAGTAAATAATTTGTTAATTTGTTCATCTTATTGTTTTTTTCGCTATCACAAAAGTAAATACACTCCAACAGAGATATTAATGCAGAAATTGGTATGCGGTTTTCGGGTCGTCTATCAAATCTATCAAATAAAGATGAAAGATGATAATGTTTTCACTCTAAATTGGAACTTTATATCTAGGTTTAATCTCTTACACAAGGGTATACATATTTCGATCATCATTTCCTTTTTAAATTAAAATGTTATGTATATTCAACACTTAGATTGTATTTATTTAATGATGTACCTAATCATGTCAATGGAGAGACGGAGTTTACATACATTCAACCATTTCCTTTGAACGTCAAAATAAAATCATATCAAATGACTTGGCGTCGGTTATTTACAGATGCGATTTAACACTAGACATTTATGTGGGAACACCTACATATTTCGGTTTTGTTCGCTAGAGAGCTTAGAAGTGCCAACGTGTATCTCAAGTTTCAGGGTGGAAGCGAACGGCTATACAGTGAAGACTACGGATTGAGTAGAGTACGGTGGTGTTGGGTAAACGAACTGAATAAGTTCATGTTAATCATTCCTTTGAGTTCGATCTGTTAACGATGTTTACCCAACACTAGAGTACGGTGGATATGTAGCTTTGTGACATTTTTAAAGTCCAAAAGCGGCTGCATACGCATGCAGAAGCTGGAGCACATAGTCGGCACTCTCCTGTATGACGGTGCTGCCCAGACCTTGCGATCGCTGCAGCATATCGAAATCCAGCTCCGTCTCCATGTCAAAAGTTGTATTCTGTTGTTGCTGCTGCTGTTGCTGACCTGCCTGTCCTATTCCTAAATGCTGCGCCGTCGGCCCCGGCTGCTGCTCGTCAATGCCCTTTTGACCGGGCAAAAGTTCGTCCTATTCGTGCAGAGTCCTTCGTGGCCGTTTGGCCGGCAAGCAGGCACCATCATTGTCACCCAACGAGGCCGAGCCGCAGCTTTTGCGCCCATTCTCGATGGGTGATGGCGAACCAGCCGCAATGCCCGCCGCCGCTAGCAGAGCGGGCGAACTGGAGGCGCTGCCGCCCTTGCCAGACACCTTGCCCTCGAAATTGGGCAGCCATTTGGCCAGTTGCTCCTCAAAGAAATTCTCCAAGTATTTGGCATTGGTGTACGTTTTCGTGTCCTCCTAGCGGGAAACGCGCGATCATTAGTTGTCATTCGTATAACAGACTGTACAGACGATAACACTCACCTGATAGAACAGATATGTGTTGGAGAATATTAAACGCACATCGGTCACAAAGCCAGCAATATCTTTGTAATGATTGGGGCTGGAGGGATCCAAACGCGTGCGTATCACATCCAGGGACATGGGACTGCAGATTAAGATCACATTCAAATCAGTTAAGTGGGGACAAGCCAAAGCCATCTCAAACTATACCTGGACACAATCTCGTAGTAGGAAGTGTTGGCCGGTGACTCCGGTTCACGGAAGTTGAGACTCTGCTCATACTGACAGTACAGCTCCAGGCAAATGCGCTGCAATATCCTCAGCTCCAGGCTGCTCAGCTCACCCGGATGGGATGTCTTGTCGGTGGTGGTGCCGGTGCCGTCGTTCTTGGTCAGCTCCTTGAGATTAACGCACAGCAGACACTGCCAGCTCTCGCTCTCGTCTGGCAGCGAACTGATGGCGGGTATGTGACAGTTCTGATGGAAAACCTTGGGGCATTTGTCGCAGCACATTAGCTCGCCGCCATCCAGGCAAACGGCGCACCAATCCTCATTGGGGTCATCTTTTTGTTCGTTTTTATTATTAACTGATATTATTAGTTTTTTATATTTTTATAATGTTTAAAGGGGGTTGGAGTGGGAGTGTGTAATGTGTGTGTGGGTGTGTGTGGGTGTTTTTGTTTTGTTTATTGTTTGATTCAATTGTTAGTAATTTATTGTTCGCGTTTCAATCATTCATTTGTTGTTTTATTTTTTGGAAGTAGAAATAAAGAGAGCAAAAGTTATATGAGAATTTGTAGAATTAGAATTTTCATTTTGATCAACCAACAAGCAAGCACTGAAAGAACCCCATAAAAAAACAACACAGCAAATAATCCATATGAAAAGACAAGAACACCCATACACCATGAAAAGTAAATGACTTATTTAATTTAAATACAAAACATTCATAAGTTGGAATTGTTGTGTCTCTCTCACCTTCTTGCGTGTTTGACAGATCCGTGGAGCTGTGCACCTGCGGCGAGGTGGTCTTTGTACGGCCCTCGGGCAACACTTGCACCCCATTAGAGTCCAGCTTGGCAATGGTTGCTATCAGATCGTTGATGGAGTCATCGCGCACCTTGTCAATGGGCTCGGTAAAGTCCTTGGTGTTCTGCAAACACAAACCACACAAAGATCTGTCAGTAAATACATTTTTGTATGTCATAACTGCGACTCACCTCATGAGTGCTGGGACTGGGTGTCTTTGGATTTGTCGAGGTGACATTGGAGAGTATTGAGACGGAGGGGCCAAGCCCTAGGGCGGCAGCATTTAGCTGCGCATTAATCGACGAGCCATTGCCTAGGCCCGGCATACCACCCGGGACACCCAATCCCAAGCTGGGCGGTGTACTGTTCTTGAGCGTGTTGGGCGATTTCAAAGATATTTTAAAATTTTCCGATGTCTGGCGGCCATTGGCAAACGGCAAAAGGGGACCCTGCTGAGAACACACTGAAAGGTAAACGGGAAATTAATGTAAAACTCTGCGGATGCCTGGGCTCTGAGTTCCAGTGCTCGTGGATGACTCACTGCTCGACTGCTGCGCGGATTGCGGTATGTGCCACTTCGCCAGGCTGTGCATGCCGCCGCCTAACTGAGGCGACGTTTGCGGTGGGCCGGTATTAAAGCCAGCCTGGCTCCCATGAAACCCCAACGACTGCAAATAGAAAAGCAAAAAATGTCAGTCTCAGTCCTTGCATGTTACTCTTTCAGACATACATTCTGCATGGGATTTTGCATCATTTGTGGGCGCTGCAGTGCCCCGGGAGACGGTATCTGTCCGCCTCCACCACCTGCCCCGGCCATGGCAGCTACGGCCGCCTGCTGGGCATGGCTCGCCATGCGCTGGTACTGCGACTGAAAGCGTGCTGCATTGCTGCTCATGAAGTTGTTGTCCCTGGGCCCGCCGCCTGGTCCTCCGCCACCGCCCTGTGAGAAACCCTGCTGGCCGCCCATGAAATGCGGTCTCATCTGCGGTCCCCCCATCTGTTGATGGGCTGGCGAGGGACCGCCCTGCGGTCCACCCGGATAGCTGGGCGGACCATTGAAACCCATGTGCCCGGCATTGGGACTCTGGGCTGCCTGATTGTTCAACAGACCTCGCAGGCTGATGTCTGCAAAAGTAAAATTAACGAAATAAGTTTCTCTCTCACTCTCTGAATGTGCATTCGAAACACTTACCCATATTCTGCGGATGTGTGGAGGAGCTTACATGTGGCTGGCCGTGTCGTTGCATGCCCACTGGTGGCATACCTGCAAAGCGTACTGCAAATAAATTGCAAAAATAATAAAATTAGGGTGACTTAGATACAAAAAAAATGGAGGTGATCGTAAGAATAATTTTTATTTTGTATTAAAAGTATATAGAAAAAAAATTGTTCTTATTGTCATCTTCTAATTTATCAAAAATTATTAGTTTTTTAATTTTTGTAATTATTTTAATTTTTTGATTAAAATTTATATATTTTTTAACTATTTTTATAACTTTAAATATATTTTTTTTAACTTCTTATTTATCGAATAATTTTTAGTTTTTAATTTTTTTTAATTATTTTAATTTTTTGATTAAAATGTATATATTTTTAAACCATTTTTATAAATCTGAATTTTTTATTTTTTAAACTTAAAAGCAATAGTTTTGATCTTTGGTAAAAAATAAAAAATTAAAATCATTTCCTACCCTTACCTGGTCCATCGCCCGGAAAGGAACGACTCATTGCAGAGAGATTGTTGAACTGCTGCTGGGCCGCAGCAGTGCTGTACATGGGAGGACCGTTCTGTGGCCCAAAGTTAACGGGTGGCCCGTTGGGCGAAAGGCCAGCTGACATGCCCGGCGGCAGGCCTGGACGCAATGGCGGTGCCATATTCGGGCTGGGCGGCTGTCGCGGCGGTGGTTGGGGCGTGCCATTTGGAGAGGCTGTCGGCGGATACGGCTTGCCATCGACAATGATGATGCCCAGCTGTGAGATGACTTTCTGCAGATCGGACACCTGATTGAGCTGCACTTGGATGCGCACGGGTATCTCTGGATTGGGTATGTCAGCCCGCTGGCACTTGAGCTTCTGCAGATGCCGCACCAGCGACTTTTTACTGGAGAGTATCGCGAAATCGCTGCCCTTGTCGAGGGCATTCTGCATGAACTCGATGCAGTGATCCGTGTTGTCGGAGAGAAGCTGCAGCGTCTCCTTTTTCTCCACGAGCACCTTCAGTTTGCTGTCGCAGACTTCGTTGAGGCGCATGATCAGCTGCTTGCCGCGCGTATTGACCGTGTTGGTGATCTTCACCGCCATGGCGGTGATCTCCTTTATGAGGTCCTTCTTCTTGTCGTGTATCAGCTGCTGACGATCGTCGATCACCTTGGTGGCCGACGAAAGCAGAAAACGCTTGTAGTTAATCTCAGAAACGAGCGTGGAGAGAGCTTGCCGCGACTCTGTGGCAATTTCGTGGGCGAACTTGTACTTGTGATCCCGATGATCGCTCAGCTGGCAGTCGCGGCAGGTGAGCTTGTCACAGGTCTCGCAGAAGAGTGAGAGCTTCTCCTGTGTATGCAGCTGGCACATGTGCAGCTTATCGACGCCGGACGTGCCGGCGAGCTGTTCGTTATTGGCCTCGTCCTTTGGCTTGATTGTGTGGTCCTTGGTGATTTTGAGACGCTGATGGGCCTGCACACAACTGTCGCATATGTACTCCGAGCAGTCCACGCACCACGACGTGGCCGCTGCTCCGTCCGAGCAGCTGCTGCACTGTACAATGGCCGGGGCGCTCTTCTGTCCGAGATCCGAGCCGCTGCCATCGCCGCTCTCGCCAGCGGCACACTGTTCGATCAGGAACTGATTATCCACAATTAACTCGTTCTGTGAGCCAGTATCGCACACCGGACAGTGTATCAGTGGCGGAAGGGAGCGGTCCAGCTCCGAGAACTTTGTGTTCACGCACTGGGAGCAGGCCACATGGAGGCACTCCAGCAGCTTGGGACGGTCATTGGAACCCAGCAGCTGTGCACAGTAGACGCACTTGAACAGCGCGAACTTGGCCGAGGCTGACGAGTTGGACTCCGACTGCAACAAGGAAGAGGAGAAAGCACTGGATTAGCACACCCCTTCGTAATGTTATCTCTTTAGTGGTCTAAAGGCTAAACTCCTCTTTCGATAACCTCTAATCAGGATCATGTCTACCTATAGCGCAATCGGGAACTATAAAATTCCAGATCTTTCAAGGACAGCACTTTCGCTGGGTGGAGTGGTCTTATCTTATCTTTTCTTTTCTAATATTATCTAATCTAGTCGCTTTCCATTTAGATAGGACAGGTATTGTCAGTATATTTATCAGGCTAATAATATTTAATTAAAAACGAGAAGGGACGTGTGAGACGCGTTCTAACGCGTCACAACTTTTATACCCGGCACTCAGTACAACATCTGCACCTTAGCGGTGTTTTGTCAAATTTTACATTTTTTCTTCATCTGTCATCTGCATCAACAACACTACTCACACCAACACGCTCCTTTAGCTCGCCGCCCTTCCCTAGACCCGCACACTTCAGAGTCGTGACAGAGGCAGCGCCCGCACACAAAAAAAAAACACAAATATAAGCTGCGGGACGGGGTGGGTTAAAAGTCGGTAGAGGCATCGGCAGTGGGAGGGCAGAGGCAGGGGCCGAGTGAAGCAGAAGCAGAGTGTGAATGAGAGAATGTAAAAAGAGCAACAAAAGCTGCGGGACAGGGTGGGTTTAGCCACTGGAAATTAATTTCTCCATTGTGGCTATAATAATGATCCGATCGGATCCCAATTTGGTGATCTGATAGATATGGCCATTTCCTACGGAATGGCGTTTTTAGTTTTCTTTTATCTTCAAAACTGTAGATTGATGGAGGTTTGGGTATGATCAAGAATATATATACTTTATGGGGTCGGAAACGCTTCCTTCTGTGCGTTACATACAACCGTTATTCACACAAATACAATATACCCTATTTACTCTTCGAGTACCGGGTATAAAAATCCCAGAACGACCTCTATTAGGTCTCGCGATAAGGGAGTTCCGGCTGTATGACCTTGACTTTATTTAACTAATTTTGAGAAACTTACAGCAGAAGGAAACGGATAAACATAGAAGTGCTGGGGCTTAGTTGCAGCTTTACTGTAGCAAACATTCCAATTTAAGAAATTTTCATCAACCAAGAATACATTAAAATTGGACTAAAAAGTGTATATAAAACGGACTTGGCCTATCTCTGGCTTATCTGCACAAAATCTCAACCTTTATGACCGGAAATTACATTTAGTTAAGTTTGGGGGCGAGGGATCATCTCACAATCTCCGCTTGCCCACAGCATTGCATTGCCCATGCAATTCTGTATACACTCAGAGAAAATGGAATTAACTTTGATATAAACAGAAAATGTGTTAACAAATCGTTTCAATAAGGCTCATCTTTAATCTACACAAACATAAAACACTTAAAAATGAATATAAAGTATTTCATTTGTGGGGAAATCAACTCCCATTTACACTTTCAATCTCTCTCATCAAATCTATTTATAGTATACATTTTATACCAATAGACAATTTTAGATTGAAGTGTAAATATTAATACATATGTCACAGCTTTTTTCTCTGGGTGTAATTAATCGCAGTTGCTCCTTCTCTAGTGAGGGAAATAAATAGTGCTTCAAGCTTGTGTCTGGCATCCGCAGAGAGCTTTGGGGCAGAGAGAGTCTCTGTCTCCTTCACTCTGTGGATGCTGCCTGCTGGTGCCAGCGTCCCCCCATTTCTGCCACCGAGTAGTGACTGTCCCAAAGCGAAGATTGATTAGTTTTATCTCGAGTTGGAACACATAAATCCAATTGATTGATTATGTTTGCTGCTCGATAAAGATTGTTGCATTGGTATGCGAGTGTTTTACATGCAGCCATCGCTGCTGCTGCTGCTGTTGCTGGCCTGGCCCTCTTCCTCTCTCGCTCTCGTCCCTTTTCTCCCTCTTTGTGTCGGTGCATCCAAACGGAAGCGCCACGGACATTGATGAATGCCCCGCGAGAGACGAAAGCTAGGGACAGGCAACAGGACCTGGACACTCGTAGGGAGAACTGAAACTACAACGAACTGGGAGTGGGAAATAGGGGATCCACATCTCTGTAGTTGATCCGGCCGATCCATCTTCCATTTAATGCTTCTGACGTTCAAAAGAAAGTTTCATCTTAGTTTTCTCCAGAGGCCAACTGACCTGTTCCCGTTCCCGCTGCTGCTCTCACTCTTTCTCTATTTCTCTACTTTCGAAATGCCTCATAAATCATACAGCAAACATCCATTTCGTACATACACATGTACTGACTATATAGGGAGCTTGCCATACACATAAGAGCATACATATCTAGCAGACAATGGTGGGACGGAGCCACGGGTGGGTGCTCGGAAGGCTACGTCCCACTTGAAAGCCATTTATCATAATATATTTTACCCTTGCCTCCCTCGGGGGTCGGGTTTCCCCCTCCCCAAAGATTGAATGGCATTTTGCTGATGATGGCCGCCTCCAAACCGGGATCGTGTTCGGTTTCGCCTCGTTTTCAGCTCGGCTTGGCTCGGTTGGCCTCGGCTAGGCTCGGCTTTATGTGGTTCGGCTTTCGATCGTTGAGGTTCGGTTTGATTCGGTTCGAGATTCTCTCTTGCGGACACTTGCCTCTCTTTGGAACTACGGCGGGGCCTTGGCCTGAGGCATGCCATTAAAATTTGTGGCGAAAAACCAGCTGCTACCCCCATGCTTTCAATCACTCTTTCGAAATGGAATGACTCGACGCAACGGAATGGATGGGATGCCGCCATGACATGCCAAGCGATGGAAGCGGGTAGAAAACTCGTTTTCTCGGCCCGCACCTTTACTATACTTGTATTTATTATATGTATCTGTATGTACACTTCAACTTATGTACAACACGGATATACAGGCATTTAATATACATATGTACATGTGTATGTACGGGTATGTGGCACAGTATGTACGGGTATGTGGCACAGTGTGGCACAAACATGTGCTAAGAATTTTAAGCATTCTTTTCTGCAAGTAATTCAAATTAATAGATTTTTCAATCTTTCGAGTCAGTCAAAAGGAAAATGAAGTCGTTCCAGGCCGCAAAAGCTGCAAAAGCTTTTAAATCCCTTAAGCAACAATCAGGTCTCAGATCTCAGCTCTGGGTTTGTTGCGGATGTAATTGCCTTAAATTTCGTTTCAACGGCATTACCATTAAAGCTCTGATCTGCCAGCTAATCTTACAATAATTAGCACTCTTTGGAACATTTTCATTTTTTTATAGAACGTACATTTGTGTTTGCCAGGACCAGGACAGTCCTAGGACCTATTCAATATTCGATTACTTTTTTTAATTCATAACAATTAAACAAAAATAAATAGAAATAAATAAATATTTAAAAGAATGTGAACTTTTTTTTCAATGGGCTTAAGCCAGGTCTCTAATTAGCATTTCATATTTGATTTTCAAATTAAAAAGCTTAATAATGAACTTTGAAAGTCTAAAGTACAGCAACTAGTTTTTTTTATTGAATAATTAATTTCTTTTTCCATACCGCGAAAGAATACAAATTTGATTTTATTTTCTTGTTGGCTTCTCAGAAACGAATGCTATAGTCAAAAGACTAGAAAACAAATTGTTTAAAACTCCTATGTCTCTTGTAAAACAAAAGGAGTTCGAAACTGTATCTATAAATTGAGTTATAACGGGTATCTGTTATTCTCCTATAATTCTATTCCCATTACAATCTCCACATAACGTTAGTTTGGCACGCATGCCACACGTGCAGACGAGTACGGAGGCTCTAAAAAAAAGTTCAACGCAAAAAGAGCTCTAAATCAAATTCAATTAGAAAACTTTGAAAGGATACCTCAGCAGCAGCAGTGCAAAACTTGTCAGGGAGCTGTCGCCTAAAAAGCTTCGGGTAGACAGGAAGCACTAGAAATGGATATTGATGGAATTATGGAACGGCGGGAGACATGACAACGGCTAACTGAGTGCATTTATGATTGATGTAATTTTGATGAAAATAAATTCTGAAACACAAAGTTTTAAGCCCCTATCCACTGCACTCCACTGTCTGTCGCATAATAAAATGCCTTTAAAATGTTTTACCTTAAATACAAATTTTAAAAGTATTTATGGGGAGTTGAGTGTTTTGCGAAAAAGTTTTAGTCTCGTTAGTCTAATAAAAAAACTTTCGTTGCTCAAATTAAATGAAAGAAGTTGTATAACTACGTGTCTAGAAATGTTGCACTCCTCCACACACACACACACACACTGCATATATCTGTCCCCTTTTTCTAGACCGTACTCTCTTTCCACTTTCTCTTTTGGCACTAACAACTTTCAGACACATTTCACATTCGAAATCCATTTTCTGAGGCACCCCCAGACATAATTCCATTAATTTTGTATATTCCAATGATGTGTTCCCCCAAGCCCACAAAAAAACGGGTGCAGCCGTTAAGCCCTCTCAGGGAGCGTTGCACACACATTGCGTCTCCCCCAAAATCATCATTGCGAGCGACAATTAAATACAAGAGTCTATGGAAAATCTCATCTTAGCTTAGGCAGATTGCAGTGTGACTTAAATTTAAAGAGCTCAGCAAATGTTCCCGGCTGCTAACCAGTGCAAGAGAATGACCGAGAAACCAAAAGATTAGTCCTTGATTAGAAACGATTTTAAGTTGAATTTAAACCCGTTTCGACTTCATAATATTCGCAGAATTCTTAACTATGTGAAAGGCAAAAATGTTCAACATTTACATTTGAATATTTTATGCCTTTTCCTAAATACAGACACAGAATCAGTAAATACTGAAATACAGATAACTGGCATTCCCATTTCTCTTTATCTCCTGTTCAGTTTATTACTCTCTTTTGTTTGCGGTGAAATGTTGAAGTTTAATCAGCAGCAAGACCTTTGAGGGGTAGAATCGGCGACCCCCCGATTGGGCTGACTGAAAAAACTTCCCTTCTATGCATTCTCCCGTGATTTTCTCAGCTTACAGTTTCGAAAGCCAATTATTGGT